CATTGGTAATAGTGTGCTTGCCAGTTTGTGAATATTAAGCTTTATGTTAAGAGAGAGACAGATATCCTGTTTATGATGGACATAGTACTTCAAATGGAGAAATTAGGTTGTTCCAATCCAGCTGGGAAATCTATCACAAGTAGGATTTTAGATCTTTATCAAAGACATCTCCTAATATCTACTCTTTTCCTTCACAAGATCTGGAAATTAGCACCTGCTGGTGTCTTGTGCTGTCTGTGGGACCCATGTTTGGTGCCATTCTTCAGACAAGCCACAACTTACATATGGAGGGGGTGGGGACATTTGACAACTACTTCCAGATCAGAGAGAAATAGCTGAACACCATAAACTACTCCAGAAAGAAATAAGATTAATGAAAAGCTGTCACTCCAGGTAAGGGAGGTCTTGGATTCATGTCAGAAGAGGAAGAGAAAGTTGTGTGTCTTTGGGAATCTGTCAATCACTGGAGGAAGGTGTTCTGGAAGAAATGCATCTCCCTGCCGCATCAGTCTGTCAGAACGGGAGACGAGCCCCTGGGTGGTCACAACGTCAGGGTCGCAGGTAAACTCATTTCCCGTACCTCACAAGTATAGCACCAACCCCAGATGGGAGTAGTTGAGAAACACTGATTATTAGCAAAATTTTTAAAAAGGATGAGGATGAAGAATTTCTAAGGTCTTTAAATTTCCCCATTGACTTTCTTCATTATTTGGATTTCCTAAGGTTCAGCATAGAACATAAATGAAACAGGAATATTGGAGAAGAATAGTTACTTTTATTTTTTGCTCTTACTCCAAATATATTAGACTTTTGTTGTTGTTTTGGCCTCCCGTCAGTATTTTTCACTACCCCTTTCCATAATGCTGCATCCCGTATGGGGGAATGCACATGGCACTTTCCCCACTATTAACCTCTAGGACACTTTCTCAACTACAAAAAGGAACTAAGATACTTTTTTAAAGAAAACAGTGAAAGTCCATCTTCCCTATCTTTACTAAATAGCCCAGGCTATTTAATGAGCCTTCAGGTTAACCAGAAAAACACTCAGATTGTGGGTGAGGAGACCCACTGGGTCAATTCTTAAGTCTCAGGAGAGTCAGGAAAGATAGATCTCCCCACAATCATTCCACTGGGTAGCCAGTGTTCACCTGATAACATCAACTGAGTGGAGAGGTACCTTTTGGAATAAGATGAGGGACACCAGGCAGGCCAGCGGTCCACAAAAGTCTCTCCCTTCTGATCTCTTCTGGGTTCCAAAATGTTAGCACTGGCGCTCTGGCCTTTTCAACAGCAATGCACATGTGTTTGATGAACATTCACTGAATAATGGCTACATGCCAGGCACTGCAAGATCTTGATGGGGAAGGGCCCTCAGTGGAACAAACAAGAGCTAAAAGATTAGAGGAGGAGGAAGAACTTCCATCTGGAGTGGCCTGGGAGGATGACATAGTGATTGATCGGGACTGAAACGGATGAATAAGGAAGGGCAAGGGAAATTCTAAGAGGAGAGATGTGTGTAAGTGCAGGGAAGGACGGAATAAACACGTGTGAGACCAGCTCACGAACAGCCTGGGTAGCAGACTGATCAGGTAGTGGCTGGATATCCTCGAGCCCATGGAGGTCAGAGCTGGGCTTAAGGAAGACAAAGGTGGAGTGGAAGGAATGGAGAGGAGTCACAGGTAGGAAAATCGGTTAAGAGATTCCTGTAAAAATCTACCAGAAACACAGAGGATGGGAAGGAGCCCACACTAGGGTTGCAACTGAAGGATTGGGGAGGGTTGTGATGGTTGGTGGGAGAAGGGCTGGTGGAAGGATGTGCACAGCAGAGACGAGACGTTCAGTTGCAGACACACTGGGTAGGACGTGCTCGCAGAGCTTCCCAGTGAAAATGGACCATCCAATTGGTGGATGAAAATAAGAACCCGGAGCCCAGGAGAACTGAAGATAGGGAGGATCCAACAGGAGCTGGTGGGCAGAGGCCAATGAAATGGGTTCAGGGAGCGGGTGCTTCATCCTGAAGTCTCCCATTTATGGAGGAGATAACCCTAGAAGGAATGCATTTAAGTTAGTCCTGGCCACTAGCCTAGACTCTCTTAGGGACCCCTTGAAGGTCCTGCCAATAAATCCATGAGCAACATGGGTAGCCTTAAATACGGCAAGCTAAGTCCGGAGCCTAGGTTCCTGCTAAGGGAGAACAGAGATGAATGGGTTAGATTGGAACCATGGATAGGATAAGGGTACAGCGGACTTCTGTCAAGGCCTAGGGTGGGCATGGGGGCAGAGGGAGATCCTCCTGCAGAGGTGGGAAGGGCTGTGTGATTGCCTATGTCTTATTCTCCTTGTTATGTCTGTTCTTAGTAGCTAAGTAACCTTGAGCAAGTAGCTTGGTGTCTCTGGTCCTATGTGTCCTCATCTGTGCTATGGGAATTATATATCGTAGACAAGGCCAAATGACATAATGTATGTGCAAGTTCCTTGAAAATTGTCAGTCACTATGTAGATCCTGGTTGTGGTGTAATATGTGTGAAGTTCTCTCTTACCCCTGAGAAATTAAAGAAAATAAAACAATCCTACGGTAAATGAGCTTCTTTATGGGATGATGGAGATGAGCAGGTATTTTTGCTTTCCTTCCCACCCCCACCTTTTTTAGATGGTCCACCAAATTTTTTTCTTTAGCCCACCTTCCCTATTTGTAGTATTAGACTAACAAACCAGCCCACAGAGTTTGGGCACCGGTCCACACTAGCCAGCAAGTCCCCACCCAGCTTCCCCACAGAGACCTCCTGTTCCCCTGAG